GGGGGGGTCCAGTGTCAAATCCAGGATCATCCGTTGAATCTAGTTGCTATTTCTCTTTTGTTTACTTTTTTATTTTTTTATTTTTTTATTTTTTAATTTTTTAATTTTTAAATTTTTTTTGTCTTTTGTCTTTTTCCGTGTCCGGCAACGGATCGCAACCCTCAGTGTTGCCCCCGTACCGGACCGGGGACCGGCAACGGGATTGCAACCCTCGGCGTCGCTCCCGCGCCTCGCCCAGCCAGTGAGCGGGAACCGGTCTGTATGTGGGATCCGAACCCTTGGTGGGAGCGCCGCCGCTCCTCCCAAGCGGCACACTATCCAGTGCGCCACCGGGCCGGCCCCAGAAATAATTAAGTTTTTAAAAAATAAACTTTCAAGTAGCCTGTAGCTAATCATACTGCTTTGGGATCTCGATGCTTAAGAAGCAAGTGGTAGTGGTTGTTAGATTGTCTGTTTCCTTGGCTTTTGTTCCTGTCTGTATACTCTGTTTGCCTTGATCAAAAACCAGTGAAACCCTCTGGTACATTTCACATATTTGATCTTGTACCTGCCATCCTACAAACCTAGCATTAAACAGTGAAATTGGGCTATGTGAAATAATCGTCTAGTTGCTCCCGTAGCATTCTCCACGTTTCAGTATTGCTATTTACAAAATTCTATTATAGCTCTTCCCTCAAGCAGTTTATGGTCTAGTAAGAGAGGTATTGTTCAACTTTGAAATCCTTAGAGAAGAATTTTATTCTTCTTCTTTGTAGCTGCTGCACCTTTGATAACAATTGTGTGGCACATGGTAGTGACTCACCAAATGTTTGCTAAATGAATGAATGAGATTGTATTTAAATTAATGCTCAGTATCTTCTGCCAGACACCAAGGAGCAGGTTCATCTATTGAAAACCATATTTTACACTAAAAACAAGGAAAACAAACCAACAGTCCTGGGTTCTGGTCCTGGACCTGCCACTATCAGTTCACCTTGAGTGACCTTGTGGAGTCTTATTCCTCTCATTGTCAAATATGAAAATAGATTAATGAGCTGCAAATTGATTCTAGTTCTCAAATGGTAAAATCTTTTTTGAATTGATATCCCTTCCTTGCTCATCATATTCTCCCACCAGACCCAGAGAAGGGAGGCCTCAGGTGGTCCCAGATTCCTGTTTTCTCTAGTAAGTCTCATGGAAAGGAAGTCTGAATGCATCCGGATGTGGTTTTGTGTGTCTCTTCCAGGCCCTCTGAGCAGAGTGAACTGAAGCTCGTGTGCAATAACTTTGAGAGGGCTGAGCTGAGCAGCGACGTTGATGTGAGAAACTGGTGTATACAGGAAAACACTGGGAAGATTTGTAAAGCAGATGCTGAAATTTCAAGCGGCTTATCTGCTGCACAGAGAGAGGCAGGTATGGAATGATACTAAGCTCCGAACGCTGCCTCAGTTGGAATTTTTGTTTCCTCAAGGAAGAATCCAGTGTGAGAGAAATAGCGTTTCGATGACATTATCACTTTACAGGCACCTTAGCTAACTAAAGCCTGAACGGAAAGTTGTCAGGGGAGACCAGGAAGCTAAGGTTCTTTTGAGCCTGGGCAGGCCTCTAGTGTTGCTCCCCTCTCCCCTAAAACCTGGCCGTTCCCAAGTACCCTCATGCATACTGCCGAAGCAACAATGGCTGTTTGCTCTAGCCAGTACACCCTTGGTGGAAGGGCGGAGTGGCTAAGTAGACAGTGCCAGCCCCGCACCTGAGCCAGGAGGGTTCTGAGGAGCCAGGCTGCTGGCCCACCCAAGGACTGCTGGGCACTGTGTGTGTGGGGGGGCGGGGGGAGGATTACAGACCCCCACCCACCACCCACCCCCATGCCCCGCATTGGTGCGCACAGGCTGACAGAGTTAACCGGTTTCTATCTCCATCCTCTCTTTCCCTTGACATATTTGTGTTGCTTTTTGGTCTTACTAGAGGTTCTCACCCATACATCAATAAGTTGAAACTCTTAGTGGGCATCTTAGTAAAAGAGAGAAGGTGAGTTACCTGCAAATCTCCACTACAATAGAGTAGCCTTCTTGATAGAAGTGTTTGTTGTTTCTAAACCATTTCTAGATCAAGGTTATAGTTAGTATTGGCTAGTATAGTTAGTATTAGCTCCAAACAAGTTTAATTGCCCATCCCATAGGAAGAGGAGACATAGCCCATCCCCCACTATTTCTTCAAGTCCCATCATTGGTTTCAACAAACTTCTTTCCTTTTGCCACAGGAGCAGAGGTAGCCAGCCCTGAAGCTGAGCCTTACCTGTTTCCTAATCTCACCTCTCTCCTTTGGTAACAACGGCATCAAGTTGAACATTGTCAGTGAGACATGACTTCCCCCTTCCTTCCTCCAGACGGTTGCTGCCAGAAGCCTGAGAAGAAGTGTGTGGACAAGGTTTGCTCCGATTCCAGCTCTGACTGCGGAAGCTCGTCAGGCAGCGTGCGTGCCAGCCGGGGCAGCTGGGGGAGCTGGAGCAGCACCAGCAGCTCTGACGGGGACAAGAGGCCTGTGACGGGCCCTCAGCTCTTCCTGGTGGCTGGTGAGTCCTGGGGGCAGATCCAGCCACTCCAGAGTGGCACTGCGTTCTGTCCTCCCAAGTACCTAGTACAGTGTCTGGGTCTGCTTCCCGCACCCAGCGAGCAGATGGGGCTGTGGGTCTGAGTCTTTGCTTTGGACTTTATTCACTTTCTTTTTCTTTTCTCCCTCCCTCTTTCTTTCCCTCCATTATTATTATTATTATAATCAGTCCTCTGTATCCACGGGTTCTCCATCCATGGATTCAACCAGCTACAGACAGAAAATATTTAGGAAAAAAATGATTAAAAAAATATAATAATTAAAAAATACAATATAATAACTTTTTACATAGCATTTATACTGTATTAGGTATTATAAGTAATCTAGAGATGATTTCAAGTATACGGGAGGATGTGCATAGGTCATGTGCAAATACTACGCCATTTTATACCAGGGTCTTGAGCATCTGAAGATTTTGGTACCCTGGAAGCAACCCCCCATGTACTGAGAAATGACTGTATTATTATCATTTAGTGTCTGTCTTTGAAACGGTTTAAAGAGCTGTTTTATTTTTTCATCTGTACGTTCTTTTTTATTGTGTTTGTCACCACGAAGTCTCCTTGGCGGTAGCTCAGGCTTGAACCCGTGTCTTCTCCGTCATCTCCCAGCTTCCTGAGAGTTTCCTCCAGCAGCTACTCTTTCTCTCTGCAATCAGCAGCGAGACCTGTGAAAGAAGGTCTTGTCTGAGAGACCTGTGCAGTAGCAGCCGTGGAAACCTGGAGGAAGTGCTCACGCGTGACTCTAGTCAGTGCCTCTCAAAGGCAGTTCCATTATTCCCTCCCCTCCCTCAGCCTTTTAAGACGTTATTTTCCTAATGGCCCCCATAAAGTTTTATTACCACTGGTATATACTGTATATCAGGTTATTACTGTGTACTGTACTTTATGCATAAAAAGATAAGATTTACTCAGCTCCTAAAAAACAAACCAGTCCCCCCTCCTTGGGGATAGTATTGCCTCCCTGGAAAATGAATGGACTTAGCTGAAGGGCTTGCAGTGCTTTGACACCAGGCGTGGTTTGCACAGCTCCTGTCTACCTCTGAAGACAGGTTTGCCGGATGGTGCTAATGTGAGATTTTTAAAAATCAGTTCTTAACATTAACAGAAACTGGAAGTGCAGCTTTTGCTTGGGAGAAAGGCCAACAGCAGAACAACAAAAATTATTGCCGGTATTGCTGTACAGTGGCATAGTGTGCAGTCTTTCAGTTTTGTTTGAAGGTTATGTAAGAGCAGGAAAATGTCCCCAGTATAATAAATGGCTAAAAATAATGTGAAGTATGATATATCTAAAAGGCCGTATTAGTCCATTTTTGTTGCTTATGACAAAGTACACTGAACTGGGTGATTTATAATGAAAATGAAATTTATTGCTTACAGTTTCTTAGGCTAAGTCCAAAATCCATCTGGTGGTGGTGGGACAGTGACCAGGGGTCTCACATTGCAAGATGGTGGTCTCACATTGCAAGAGAGAGAGAGGGGGAGGGAGAGAGGGAGAAAGGGAGAAACACAGACTCTCCTCTTTTTTTTTTTTTAAAGCCCTCAGAACCACACCCCTGACCACCATTTTTAATCCATTCACTACTACATGGCCCTACAATCGAATCATCTCTTCAGGGCCCCACCTTCAATTACCGTAATAGGATTTCCCACCCTCTTAACAGTTACAGTGGGGGCTAAGTTTCTAATACATGAAACTTGGGGGACACAATTCAGGCTTCAGTGAGTTTTGAGGGGGACGTAATTCAATCCACTATGAAGGCCGAAAATAATACGAAGTATATATTAAGTATGATCTCAATTTTATACATATGCATACACATAAAAGAGATTATTAGGAAATATACCTAAATACCATAACTGCTGGTGATTTATATTTTTTTCTTTAAACTTTAGTTTCTTTTTATTGATTTCCTACAATGGATGTATATTACTTTATAAACTGAGGAAGGAAGTGCTATAATTATATAGCTAAATTTCTTTATCAGGAAAAAAACCCTATTAAAAAGTTACATGACATTGATGGTTTCAGCTCTTCTCTATATTATTAATCTAAAATTCTTAAATTTAAACTTTGAGTTTTATTAACTTTTCAATGAAAAGATAAGAGGCCTTTTAAAAATTAAATTACTGAATGTATGAATATCAATTTAAAGTGAAAAGTAAATTACTCATTAGGAGTTAATGATATTAACAATCTGCGTTTTAATACAGAATATTTACAGTTGAATTATACTTTTAAAAATTTGTGATAATGTATTGTTTGTTTTAATGCAGGAGACAGTGTTTCACAGAATGTTTTTCCTTCTGAAACTCCCATCTCCTTGAATCTTTCTCATAACATCTGCAATCCCATGTAAGTTTTTAATTTTCCAGCTCTTCTTAGGTTTTATGTACTGCTTTTTCTGTCAGTCAGTGTGTTTCTTCTCTGTACTTGGTTCGGCAAATTAAAGTATGAAAACCTTTTAAGGATGCAGGAAAGTAAAATCTGATTTTCTTAATAATTAAGAAAGAGCAATCCTTCCAAGTAAACACAGTTCGTGTGGGAGTGTCTCTGGTATCTCTGGTCTGGTATTTTTCTGAAAGAGAAAGCAGTAGTTGTTATAAAGATGGGAATCATCTACCCTTTTCCATGACTGTAAATAAAACTGAGCATTGATGATCTGGATAATTTTTCAAGAACCTCGTAGCAGGCACTTCACTTACACATATACAGCTCCGCCGTCTGATGGTTTCTGCAGCCTCGGACAGAATAAACCAATGCCTTTTATTGAGTGCAAGGAGGGTAAGCAGGAGAGGGTTTCGGAGCGAGGATGTAATTAGGTTTCTTTGGTGCCTGCTTCCTTATGCGAAGACAGGAGGGTGTGATGAAATGGCAAATTTGCGAAGAAGGAAACTCATCTAGAGGACAAGGAAAGCTCTTTATGAACTTTTTGTTAGGAGTAGAAAGTGAGCAAGAGATTAAGAATTGCTGCCCACTGGTGGGAGGCAGATTTGAAAGTGCAGGTTACTTTAGTTAGATTTTTGTTGTTGTTTGTTAAAAAAAGGTTTTGCTGGATCTTAGGAATTTCATGATCCTCATCTCTTTTCTGGCTGAGTACCTTTATGTCTCTAATATCTATATGTTTCTTGGGGGAAGAATTCATGTAAAAACTCTACTGGACTTGGTTGTACAATACCAGTATTTCCCTGTGCAGAAGAACTCAGTAGTTCCTCCTTTTCTCGCTTTCCGCACAGAGACGTGGATAATCGCCCACAGTATGCAGAGCCGTCCTGCCCCAGCCTTCCTGCCAGGCCTGCAGGTGTCGATGAAGGTAAAGGTGGGCACGTCCTCTCGCTGCAGGCACCAGCCAGGTGTTCTACACATACTTCTGTCCCTGAGCTTGAGAAGACAAAGCAGGTTGGGTGGAGTAGGGCCGTTTGCACAGTGCCCGTCTCCAAGCCATGCTTTTTGCATTAGGAAGGCATCTGCTCTGTGGACGGTGTTGTCGGTGGCCGCTGACTTTGTGTGCTGCTGCCCCGCTGCATGGGGAGGAACTCCCTCCTTGTAGCTGAGCCACAGGGGCCCTTACAGGGACCACCAGTGCCTTTAGTCCACCTTCCCTCGTCAAAGATGACAGAGAACAATAGAAGGGCAGTGTAGGGCCCAAGAGAGAGGCTCAGTGGAGAGCGTGCCAAGGGCAAGGTTCGGCCCCTCACCTCCTTCCACCACGCCCTCTTCCCCCTTCCTCCCCCAGCTCACTCTGTCCTAGAAGCCCGTGATTCGCCCTTAGCAGCCTTGCTGACTGGTCTTGCCCCTGCACGGGCACCAGGGCTGAGCTCCCTCAGACCTTCTGCAGGTCGGGGAGGGTGGTGGCCTGGGAGCGTGGAAATAGGAGGGGGTCAGAGGAAACCCCACTCCTGGCTGGGGTCTATGACGGAAGGTTAACTCCAGTCTTCCTTTGTTTTTATTCTCCTTTTTGCCTCTTCTTCTGCCTCTCTTTGTCTTTTGTCTCCTGTCTCCTGTTTTATTCTAGGGCTTCTTTCCTGCCTAATTGGGGTCAGGAATTATGGCAGGATGAGCCTGATCCCTGCCCCCCAGCTTTAATACACGTACTTGCTTTTGCTTGTATAAATTAATGCTGGATTTAAAAGCTGCTCTACACATTGGAGAATTTTTACTTTGAAAGCATAGGGCTCTTTGCTGTTTCTTGGATAAACTTTGGACTTGTCAGATTATCAACAGAAATAAATTATTTGCAAATTGGATCTAACAACCAATAAAATATGTGTTAATTTTAAAAAATGTTAAATTCAGGGGCCGGCCCGGTGGCGCACTGCTACAGTGCGCTGCTTGGGAAGTGCGGCGGCGCTCCCGCCGAGGGTTCGGATCCCACATACAGACCGGTTCCCGCTCACTGGCTGAGCGAGGTGCGGGTGTGACACCGAGGGTTGCGATCCCGTTGCCGGTCCCAGTCTGGTGCGGGGGCAACACTGAGGGTTGCGATCCGTTGCCAGACACAGAAAAAGACAAAAAAAAAAAAATGTTAAATTCAGTAAACCATAATTTGGTAAGGCAAGATTTCAGGGAGGCTTAGATGGTACTACCTTTTCTGCAAGTAATAGAGAAAAGGTAGGACTTAATTAGTGGTGGAGAAAAATTAAAAACTCAAAACAGGTACTCTTTAGCATGTTATTCTGTTTTCGTTGTCAGTTGGAGATTCATATGTAATCTAGTGTCCTGATCCATGTCTGTGTGTGTTTCTAGTGCTTTTGGCCTTGTCCTCACTAATAATCTACAATTACTTTTTGGTCACCTATTACAATCCTTAATTAGGTCCTAAAGTCTCTACAAAACCAGCTCTTGTCTGCAGTCTGTGTCTACAAAGCCTGGGTCCTGCCACCCTCTGCTGGCCCTCCCTCCCTCCTGCCTGGCTCAAGTGCTCTGATCCTTGTGATAACCATTTCCTTGACTTCTCTCCGTTTGCTGTATTAACCTTGCACATCCAGTCATGGCTTTTCCCACCTCTCCACTGCTGCACCTGTCCCTGTGCAGGTGAGCAAAGCTGGAGGACATGGTGCCACATGCTGACCAGCCTCTGTGCATTCCTGACACTTGACTTCACGTGGGCCGGCTGCTGCATCTACTGCCCCTTCCCTGGTCCCTTCATCTTCCACACTCCTCCCATATCCCCACGCTTCCAGTGCCTTCTGCTGCATTCTCTTAGTTGCTCTTGCTTCCTGTTTTACTGGAAAAGAGAGAAGCACCTAGACACCTTCGTAAAGCTCCCACTGCCCCATTCATCCCCCTACCACATCACAGCATCCTCTGCTTCCCTCCTGTTGCATCCTGTGGAATTGTCCGTGCACTCCTTCTCTCCAAGGGTGTTGCTTCAGATTTCCCCGACCCTCTTCCATCAGTTTTCCTGTAAGGGTCATTCCCATCAGCCCAAGTAGACTGCAGTACCTCCCATCTGTAAAAACCCAATAGCCGAACCCTGTCTCTTGACTCACTTCTCTAGCTGCTGCTCTGTTTCTCTGCTCCTGCCTTAGGGATGCCTTAGAGGAATTATCTGTGCTTGATCATTCAAATTTCTTTCCTCCTATTCTCCCTGGAAACCCCTATAATCTGGCTTTTGCTGCCATTACTCCAGTGAACAGCACTGTCAGGGTCGCTGGTGATTTCCACATTGTTAAGTCCTTGGTCCGTTTTGTCTTTGGTCTCCATGTGGAGCTGTTGCAGGCATTAGATGTTCTGTTCCAGCTGGTAAACCTTAGGTTCCCAGTTCAGCTCCTCCCCATCGCCCCACCTCTCATGACCCGGGAGCCCTCCAGAGCACAGTCCTTGGTGCTCTTCTGTCTTGGCACACTCCCTGGGTGATCTCATCCACTTTCAAAACTTGAAGTCTCACCTACGACCCAGCAACTCCCAAATTTATATCTTTAGCCTGGGCCTCTCTCCTGAACTCTGGTAACTGCCAGTTTGACATCTTTACTTGGGGATCCAACAGGTACCCCAAATTGTATACTTGATCATCTCTTCAGATCTATTCCTCTTACATTCAGTCTTTCTGATGGCTCAGGCCCAGAATCTCAATGTCATCTTTGACATTTTCTTTCTTGTGCCCCACATCTGATCCATTGTCTTTTTCTGTTAGTCTTCTGCCTTCCAAATATATCACTTCTCAACCCCTGCACCTTAATTACCCTGGCCCAGACCATCCTTCTTTCTCACTTGGGTTATCACAATAACCTCCTAACAGGCCTCCCTGCCTCTGCCCTCACCCCACCTTACCATCTGTTTTTAACACAGCAGCCAGAGTGGTCGTGTTAAACATAACTCAGATCATGTCACTTTCAAGAACTGGGAAGCCTCTGAGATCTTTACCCTGCTTACAAGCTAAGGAGTTAGCCTGCCACAGTTTCGTAGAAACTGGCAGAAGACAGGAGTCTCTTGGGCCAGAGATAAAGGACTTCTAGTACAGCAAGCAGCATGAGCAACAGCCCGTTATGTCAGCTCCCCTTGCCCCCATGGGAGATGAGAAAGGAGCCCTGAGCTTAGGAATCCAAAGGGCTCCAGAGGGAGACACTACCTCTGTCTTCTGAGGCTTTGCCTAGCAAACATCCTTGGGAAAGTAGGGCAGAGTAAAGGCAGCCAGTGCTTCTGTTTGCATGAAGTTCAGAAATGTGAGAGGCCAGTAGAGAGTTGTAGACACACTTCTTGTTTCTACAGAGCTTCTGGTATATATGTTTCCATATGGCTTCTGGTAGCCTTTGTTATGAGTACACCATTCCAGGAGCAATTCTTGATTAATCTGACCAGCAGAAGGTGGGACCAAATCTGTCTGATTTGTCTCATACAAAAACAGCTACTATCAACAGGGCTCTAAGCAGTAGGATGAGGCCACCCTGTGGTATTGACCACATCCATGCCCCATAGAGCCAGTTCCAGACCCAACCAGCCACCAGAACCTGCTTTAGAAAGCCATGTGTCTTTTTCTTTAAGCTTCTATACTGATCTTTCCACTTGGCCAGAGGCAATTGCAGGTACAGCAGGGTGTATTAGTGATTTCATAGATTCTACCTTGGCCTGCAAGGAGAAAGTCTAGGGCAGTTCTGTCATCCGTGACAACCCTGGCCAGGGAGTTGAGGATGACCTGAGTTTCTTTCAGGGCCCAGGTGGTGTGTTTGATCACTTCAGCTAGTTTCAGCAGACAGTTTTCATACCACATTTTCTTTCTTTTTTTTTTTTTTTCCTTTTTGTCTTTTTTTTCGTGACCGGTAACGGGATCGCAACCCTCGGTGTCGCGCCCGCACCGCGCTCAACCAGTGAGTGGACCAGTCTCTATATGGGATCCGAACCCTTGGTGGGAGTGCTGCCGCGCTCCCAAGCGCTGCACTCTACCGAGTGCGCCACCGGGCCGGCCCTCATACCACATTTTCTAACTGGTGGCTGCCTCATAGTGATGACTGCCCCTAGGATCTGCATGATCAGCAAGTTATCCTTCCCAGAAGCTCCCTGAGTAACCAAGGGTAGCCTCGTTTTTGCCAGATCTCCACAGTCATATGAAGGCTGCATGACATACCAGTGGTGTTTCTCCAAACACTTGAAGGTCTCTTACGACCACCTCTAAGGACAGTAGCACTGTAATCTGAAGTGTGTTAGTGGTGGTGAGGCAGCACTTACAGCCTGGAACAGGATTGAAGGTCCAGTGTAGTCCCTGTGCCAGGAGTGGGCAGCAACAGTACTCTGTGTTGTGTCCCCACCTGAGACAGCAGGTCAGCTTTCTCTTTGTGGTCGGTCTGTGATGCTGGAAGTGCTGCCGTGTCCAGTACAGGACCCAGCTAGCAAGGATGGCATCTGGGTGGTGCAGACTCAATTGGAAGCTTGATTTGGGTCAGTCTCAGCAGAGAATGGGACCTTACCAGGGGCCTCTACCTGAATGGCTCAGAAGTTTAATCAGAAGCCAAGATCCTTTCCACATTTCACAGCCCCAAAGAGCAATGTCTTTAATCATCTAGGCCATTGAGTCAGGAGAAACATAGCAAGGATCATCAAGGGGAAAATTGGTCAGAGCTGCAAGAACCCCCTTGGCTTCTGCCCCTGAGCAGAGTGGCCACGTCCATGTTCAGTTCTGCAGAGGGGGCATTGAGGTTGGACAGCTACAGCAGCCCAGTGGACACCTTCAGGTCCCAACTTACCCCATCCAGCAGAGAACCGGGCCAGGCACTCAGGGGAACCTCAGGGGAGCTGAGGGCCCCGCTGAGCCAGCAGTGGTGCTTCAGGTGGCAGAGTTGGGGATAAAGTTTCCCCAAAGGGATAGCTGCCGTTGTTTACATAAAGCAGAAATATGGCTGAGGACCAGTCAGCTGCATGAGCATCAGCCTGTTTGCCTCAGTTCTCCTTAGCCCCAGGTCACACGGGGGTGACTCAGACAGCCCTGGATGGATGCCTGCGAACATTCTAGGTTTCATTACAAGAGAGGAACCTGAGCTTAGGGAACCCAAATCTTTTATAATGAGTGGTAAGCATGACTGCCCTTTGCTCCAGAGGGAGCCACTCTATGTTCCAAGGATTTTGCTTAGCAGACGTCCATGAAAAGATAGTCCAGAACAGAGACTGCCAGTGCCTCTACCTACAGGATGCACAGGAACCGGAGAAACCATGGAGACTCGTCTTCTGGAGTCACTCTGCTCGAAACCTTCTAGTGGCTTCCCATCTGACTCAAAGTAAATGCCCAGTCCTTGAAGGGGCCCACAAGGCTCTGTCTCCTCTGGCTCCCAGTCAGCTCTCTGACTCACTCATCCCCACTCTTGTCCTTTCTTGTCACCCCCTCCTTTCTGACCACACTGCTCTCCTAGCTCTTCGAACCACCCAGGCACACCCCGCCTCGGGGCCTTTGCCACACTGTTCCCACTGCCTGGAGCGCACTTCCTGCACCCGCCTGGCTCCCTCCCTTCCCTCAGTCCCATCTTTGATGAGATGTTCCCGCAGTGAGGCCTCCAACTCCCCTACTTAAGATTGCTGTGTTTGTCCTCATGGCACATAGACCATCTGCCGTGCTATACTTCTTGCCTCTTTCTTTAATTGACACATTGTAATTGCACATACATACAGGGTACAATTTGATGTTTTGATCCATATGAGGGTACTTCCAAAAGTTCATGGAAAGATTCATATTATCTTGTTAATTCTAATTTTCCACAAACTTTTTGAACCAGGGTTGTTAGTATATTCATCACCTCATGCATTTATCATTTCTTTGTTTTGTGAACATTCAGAATCTTCTCCTGTAGCTGTTTTGTAGTAAGAATACTTAACTGTTAATCCTAGTCAGCCGACTGTGCAGTAGAACACCAGACTTATTTCTCCTGTCTAATGGTAATTTTGCACCCATTGGCCAACCTCTCTCCACCCTCCCTTGCCTCCTTCCCTCCCCAGTGGAATCTTAAAAAAAACTTTTTTTTTTTCCTTCTTCATTGTCTGTCTCTGTTCATTGGCATACAGCTTGTTTCCTGCTGTGTCCCTGGTATCTGTAAAGGCGCCCTGCAGAGTACAGGTCCTAAAGCACTTGTTGAGTGAACTCCTCATGTCATGTAGGCCAGGAGACAGTCACACCATCCGAAGTAAAGGTCAAAGCAATGTGCTGTATTTTCAGCATCAGATCCTGACATAATACCCCGAAAGGAGCCAGGGAGGGCAGAAGTCATCAGCATGTGTGGGTGATGTCGGGGGGTATTTTCTGGAGGGAAGAGGACTTGAGCTGGGTGTTGTGGGAAGGGTAGGATGAGGGCTGAGTGGGAAGAAGGTGGACTGAGGTCTTGTTCGCTTCTGTAGGTCTTTACCCAGCTGGAGACCTGTGGCCCACCCAGCCAGTGTGTCTGACAAGCGGCCTGACCTGTGCTCTGGAGAGCAGCGCACCTTGTGTGGTGCCGGAGCCCTCCGTGGTTCACAACAGGTACGGCCTCCCTTCTCGGGTTGTGCCTTGCTTGGCTGAAGCGCTGGCAGGTGGGATTTGGATTTGTTAGGAGGTCCTTACACGAATGAGGGCCAAGCTTCTCCCTCCGTGTACTTGAGCTGTGTATTTACTTCTGCCTTTTGGAGTTGCATTGTGATGATTTAGAAAATAACCAGTCATTGAGAGAAACATCAAAGGAAATAAAAGAATAAAGCTGATGACCGTGTCATTACTTGCCTTTTTTTTTAAATTGAAGAGATGATCTATTCATATATTAGAAGGAAATTTGAAAAGACAATCACTCATCATTCCCACCTCCTAACAGAGTAAAGATTTCCATTTTTCCATGGCATTACTCTTGAACACATTTAAAATTTTAAAAGCTCAGTTTGAGTCTCAAAAAATCATTACACGACAGCAGTTTCTTATATTTGCTATTTGATATTAATATGTCATCCAATTAGGGAACTTGAGAAAATGGTAATCATATCTTTGTTTTATTACAGAATCCATCTGAAAGTTTTCTTGGTTAAGCTTATTACAACAGTATTTACTGTCTTATTTCTATAATGAGAATCCAGTTTGCAATCATGATCAAAGTACAACGAATCATAGTCTTTATAGTCGTGACTTACGATGAATGCCGGTCTTGCTGTGAGGGAAGGGTAGACATTTTAATAGAACATGTTTAAGTCCTTCAGGCGTGTGCTAAGACACTCAAAGGTATTCCAGTTGTCCTTCATAGTGCTTTTAAAGCCACTGCTGTGGATTCTGTCTCATTAGCCTTACTAAACACAGTAATAAAGGAAGTGTGCTCCCAGTCCAAGCCGTCCATCCTGCAGGCGGTCTGTCACTGCTGGTGAGCATTTAGTAAGCCTTCGATTCTGTGACTTGGGAAAGTACATTTATTTTCTAAAACTGAGGAATTTGCAGTGAGTAGGATGCTGCGCAGTAAAATCATTTTCTTCTTTCCTTACTTGATCCGTTGGCATCCTATTTCTGAAACTAGACCTCTTGTTCTTTGCAGCAGTTTCATTGATTGGAGTGCAACTTGCGAAGGCCAGTTTCCCAATGTGTACTGTCCATTGGAATTGAACGATTACAATGCCTTTCCAGAAGGTAAAAACTATTTGAACAATCCCAGTGCCATTCTTTTATTCTCAGAAGGTCAGAGCAGGTAGTTAGTGGACTTAAGGCACTGACCTGCAGAAGAATGTGCCTTTTAGCAGACTTTGAGAATGGTCTTACTGTAGGCTGCTGACTGGCTTCATGTGGATCCAGTTGTGCATGCCTGCCATAAGTAATTTTATATGCCCCTCAAAAAGCCCTCTAAATCTAGCCGTCTGGGAGCTTCTACAAATAACCCTAATCCATTTAGTCCTTCCAGTTAGGTAGAACTGGGTTATTTGGATTTATGTGGACATAACATTGTGGGTTATCCATTGGCAGGCTGGAGCTTTAGTTGTTTGATATTCTTTTCGGGCAGGCAAGTCCCATGTGAAACAGAAACGTTTACCTGCTTTTTTCTCAACATGTTCTGGCTTTTCTGCCTGTGGATGGGACTACGGAAGGAAAGAAGGGAGCTTGGAGGGAAATTGTGGAAAATCGCAGATGCTTGTGCTCAAGTGTCTGTAATAATAAGTAGGAGATAGGGCTTACCCTGATGAACTGGGAAATGCTCTGATTGTACATTACAATCAGATCATTCTCATACTAGAGCCAGGGAAGGGATAAGCAGTATATTAGGTATTATTCTGATCATGATTTTGATACATGCATTGCTCTGTGCTAACCACAGGGAGGTGCTTTGGTAACTTTCTTCCTCTGATCGTGAGGCTTTGTGTGTATCACTTTCTTGTTGATCTCTGAGTGCTTGGTTTCGGATTGCTTTATCAGCCCATATGGTATATGTGCAGGTGGCTGAGGCTGGCATAACAGGTAATAAAAAAAAAACAGTAAGGACTGGTAAGAATATTGGCACTATTCAAATGTGTAGTAGTATTTTAGTGTACTTTATGTATTAGAAAGATTCCCATCAAATGATCAAATACAGAAAAGCAAGCCCAGAGGAAGACCTCCCTTACGAGGGTGTCCTAGGTGATGTGTCTGAACAGTTTTAACCTTGAGAATGCCAGTGTAATGACCCTCCTAGTCCACACAGAGTTAAGTATTTTGTGTCTGTCTTGAACTTGTCAATAATGTAAGGCCCTGAAAACCTTTTTGCCCGAAAGTGAGCATTCATTTCTTTCCATGAAAATGTTTACCTATGTTGCTATCTCCCATTCTTTGTAGAAAACATGAATTACACCAATGGCTTCCCTTGTCCTGCAGAAGTTCAGACGGACTTGATTGATCACAACTCTCAGCCTACCTGGAACACCCCGCCCAACATGCCTACTGCCTGGGGACATGCCGGTTTCATCAACTCTCCGGTCAGTGTTGCCTGTCCTGTGCTCTGGACCCTGGGGCAGCTCCACGTTGTTTCTGGTGCTTCTTTAGTCCTGGTGTCAACAAGCTTTAGCATTGTGCTCAGATCAGCCAAAGCCTGCATTGTTTCTCTTAGATCACAGAAGCCCGGGCTGGCCACGCTCTGAAGGAACTTAACTATAATCAGAGGGGTGAGGGCTTGCAGACATTGACATCCTGGCCACCGTGAATGAAAAGGATGCCCAGACTACACCAAGCAGTGATCATTTGTAGATAAAATAGAACTGGGTCCTTGAAGCCCTCTGTGGCCCAGCTGTTTTTCTGTGGCTTCGCTGACCTTTACAGCTGTGATAAGAAATGAAATGGAGGTCCCAGGAAGGTCAGTCAGTGTTCAGTGACTGGGTCCTGAGAGCTTCCTGCCTGTGAGCACAGCCTCCCTGCTAAAAGCCCAACGCCTTCCCCTTCCACATCCACTCCACACTTTTTTTTTTTCTTTCAGATAAAGGGCATTTGGCCTGTGGGTTCTTCCTTGAGATGCAAATAAGTTTATTCAGTCCGATAAGGATTTCACACTCCTCCCTTGGAGAAAAATTGAATTAAAGCAACCCAGCTTGTTGAGAATAGTTTAATAACTTCAGAGTGACTTGGATTGATATCATTGTGGCAACCACTGGTGTATATTCAACCTTGACATTGTCTTTGTCAAGATTCTTTTTTTAACTTTTTTTCTTTTTTCCTTGCCATTTACACTTCAGCCCTACCTCACAAGTGCCCGAAGCTTGTCTCCAATGTCTGGACTTTTTGGTTCCATCTGGGCCCCACAAAGTGATGTGTATGAAAATTGCTGCCCCATCAGTCCCACCACGGAACATTCGACTCACATGGAAAACCAGGCGGTCATGTGCAAGGAATACTACCCAGGGTTCGACCCGTTTCGTGCCTATATGAACCTGGACATATGGACTACCACAGCAAATAGGAATGCAAATTTCCCACTGTCTAGAGACTCGAGTTACTGTGGGAATGTGTGAAAAGAATTGGATTTTTAAACAATGTGAATAAAGAGGTTTGTGTTTTGATTACTTGCGTAAACTGGTTGTTGAGATAGCTTAAGACATTGGTGGATATTTTGGCACTTTTATATGAAAATAAATTTTTTTAATGAAATCTGGGTGCTCTATTTTTTAAACCCTTCATAGATCAATGGTAGAAACTAAGCAGCCCTATATCATAACTTAATTTAAGTGTGTCACACACGCCAAATGTTTTAAGTCAGAACAAAGGAGACTTCAAAGAAGGTGAAAGTTGAGGCAGACATGGCTGCTGTGGCTTCCCCTTCCCAAGCATCAGAATTATGTCGGAGCTTTCAGAGAAGTTGCTCAAGCGCCATTCCCAGAGATTCTAATTTAATTGATCTGTGGCTCAGGCAATCAGGAAGTTTTAAAAAGTTCTTCATTGATCGTAATGTGCTAGTTAGGAAAGCCCAGTGTAGCAGAAAGTGACCTTCCCAGACGGACTCTGCTCAGGGTACAGGGGTGGTTCTTTCTGATCCTGGCTGCTGGGATGAAGCAGAGAGCCTTGTGCTGTTCTATCAGTCCTAGTTGCAGTAAGGACTGTTCCCTCCCCTCTATGCCAGTCACTGTGCACAGTGACAGCATCAGGGACATGCTGGTAAGTGGTTTCCCTCCTAGTGGGGGATAAGTAGCTGATGCATGTTTTGCCAGACCAGTTTGTATCTGCTTGTCATTGATTTTAGAAGTCCATAGTATGGTGGAGTTACCTGTTTGCATGTGTAAACTTTGGACACATTTTAACTTTTAATAAAAATTTCTTATTTTTACATTTTGTTTTGTCTTTACTGGAAATTCAGCAGGAGTTACATTTGAGTGGAATGTTGGGCTGCCCGCTTTGAGTTTATTTCTCTTTGCCATCATTGTGTGGGGGCCTGGGACAAGTGCACTGTAAATTGGGGACTGCTCTTGTGCAGGGAAAGCCCCCATGCATGCACAGCTACTAGAAAATCTGAAGGTTGCTAAGTTAGAATCCTGATTTGGGTGAAGCAGTCTCCCTCCTACCACCCAGTGTTGAATAATGTTAAAAATTAATTTGGTTCGAGGTACCCAAAAGAAAGTGGGGACTTGAACAGAAAATTTCACACACGTGTTCATAGCAGCATTATTTACAATAGCCAAAAGATGGAGACAGCTCAAATGTCCAACAGAGAATGGATGATTGGGATGTGTACATCCACACAATGGAACATCATTCCGTCTTAAAAAGGAATGAAATTCTGACACATGCTCCAATACGGATGAACTTTGAAAACATTATACTAAGTAAAATAAGCCAGCACAAAAGGACAAATAATGTATGATTCCGCTTATATGAAGGTACTTCAAAACGTTTGTGGAAAAGTAGAATTGAAAGATAATTCAAATCTTTCCACAAATTTTTTGAAGTACCATCATGTGAGGAATCTGGAGTAGCCAAGTTCATAGAGACAGAAAGTAGAAGAGTGGTCTCCAGGGGCTGAGGGATGGGGGAATGGGGAATTATTGTTTGATGGATGCAGAGTCTCAGTTTGGGATGATAAACAGCTCTGGAGCTGGATGGTGGTGATGCTTGTGTGACACTGTGAATGTGCTTACTGCCACTGAACTGTACGCTTAAGAACATTTAAAGTGGTAAATTTTGTGTTACGTGCATTTTGCCACAAAAAATTTAGATTGGATAGGGAAAAACAAAAGATTCAAAGGATATTTCAGATACTGATGAATATTAAATTAATTAAATGGTGATGTGATAAACTGGGGAAAGATGGCAGTGGGTCGTCAGAGCAGTCAGGGAAAGCATCTCTGAGGAGGTACATTTGACGTAAAAACTTGAATGACAGGAAAGAGCCAGTGTGCTGAGATCACTGAGCGGAGCTTTCCAGCAGAGGGAACAGCAAGGGCAAAGGTCCTGCGGCAGGTGGCCAGTGGGGCTGGGGCTAAAGAGGAAGGCAGAGGCCACCTCCATCAGGCTTGTAGCCATGAAAAAGAGGATGGGTTTTACTTGAAGTGCAATGGGAAGCCATCGGAGTGTTTTGAGTGAGAAGGAAGGTTATGTGATTTAAGTTTGGGTTCTAGGAAGTCAGTTGCCACAGAGGAGATGATGGAGAAAGATGGGTTTTTTGTGTGTGAACATGCTGAAAGGTGGGGTAGGCTTGAGAGGGATTAGGAAGGCAAAAATCCTGATTGGGCTTTGAGAACTGGGAGGAAGAGCATTTAGGGAGGGTCTGGTTGGAGGCAGGTGACAGAGTTCCATGTGGGGTGTGTTCAGCCTGAGAGACCTATGACAGATCTAAGTGGAGAGCCAGGTAGGCAGTTGTATCTACAGATCCGAAGCCACGAAGGGAAAGGAAGTGGTCATCTGTGTCCAGGCCAGTGGGGCTGGGAGCCAAGGCACAAGGCGAGGCCTGAGCGTGGACCGGAGCAGGAACGTCAGAATGGGCGGGATGGCACAGGCTCGAACAGGAGTGCAGGCAGGTGTGTTTCATGGTGACAAGTTATCGGAGTCCCAAGTTTTAGCGGGTTGCGTGCTGCGCAGCTACAGACCGCGTTTTACCCACCCCCGTGCCAGGGTGTGGCGTGTTGCCCGGGAACAGAGTGAGAGGTCATCTCTAGGGCAGGGCCATGCCCTCCCCCTTGCCACTGGCAGGAATGCTCAGTGGACGGGTGATGAGGAGAGGGTGGTCAGCCAGCCTGGACTTCCCCGAGGGCTTGTCAGAACTGCAGACTCAGGGCACCAGAACTTTCCTTTCAACAGGCCCTTCAGGTGACGTGTGTGCACATGAAAGGGCACAGAGCACTGCAGTGTGGGAGGGATCAGCAGTGGGAGCACAGCCACTCCTCCATTTATTTTCCAGGGCAGACACAGCTTAAAATATTTACTCTCTGGCCCTTTACAAAAAGGTTTACCGAGCCCTGCTCTAGGGAATAGAAGTTCCTGGGCCTCCTGAACCATAGGGGTCCCTTCGTTGTAGCCCTGGACTTCTGCCCCTGGAACTGTGATGTGGAAGAGAATAGGTTCTGTCTTGTTTTGGCTGCTTTTGGGGGTCTGTGTTATGGCATCAGAACTAATACAGCCTTCCCTGCTTGTCTGTTGTCTCTTGTACCTGTCATGGCATGGGATATATAGTAGGGGGGGGGGGGAATAAACTGGTAGGGGAGGGAGAGGGGTGTACAATTGTCTAGCAATTAGAGAAGTGTGTCTTAATTATTAGAGGATGCAGCAATTATTCTATGGTTGGGAGACAAGCAAAGTAGCATAGGCAAAGACGGGGGAACTTTCACACACCATTCTCTGTGTAGAGACCTCTCATGGCAGCTATTACTGCACTGGAGTATGCTAATACTGGGGGAGACTTGAGAATCACCGGAGTAATAAAGGAGATAGGGGAGAAAACTAATCCTGCCTTCTAGGACTTTCAATTTTAGTGGAGGACCCATTAAAGAACATATCCTTTGGGGCCAGACTTCCTGTGTTCTGACTCCAGCTCGCCACTTACTTACCTTCTCCATGCCTCAGTTTCCTCTTCTGTAAAATGGTGATATACCCCCTAGAGTTGGGAGGATTAAATGAGTTAGTGTTTAGACAGTGCTTGGCATGTAGTAAATGCTCAATTGGCTGCTCTTATTGTTTGGTATAGTTGCTGTAATCAACTTAAATGAAAAACCATGAAACAACAGCATAACTATGAAGTTAAATCTCAGGGTTTTGGGGGGCAAGTGAGACAGGTGCTTTTATACATTGCAGATACTGGGGGAAACTTGAGATTATAAATTGGTTGGCCACGTTTATTAGGTACCTTAAAAACTCTTCCAAAAATTAACTCCTAAGGAAAATAGTAAAAGATGTGCACAAAAAATAGGTATTAGTTTTCTTTAAAAAAAAAAAAAAAAAAACATTATTGTAACCAACCATCTCCCAAAATAGATTTATAGCATTTTATAATTGAAACACAAATACAACAGAAACAGTGTTTAGATATAAAACTATTTTTTTAAATTAGTATTAAGTATGAAAATCAGAACTGTAATTCCTAAGGGCATGTTTTCTTTTCCCTTGATTCTGATTGAAGAAATGGTTAATTACTGGCTCTTTCTCCACTTGAAGCTTCCTTTGTGTTTTTTAAACCTGAGCAATGATCAGATGAATTCATGCAGTGCGGTGTAAAGAACAAAACCAGGCCGCATTGGTGGGGCGCCCTGCATGGAAGAAAACGTGATTGTGCTGCTCTTCTGTAATTGATGCTTATGCCTGAGAGATTAAAAAAGGACTCCATTTTTCATGACTTAGTTTTTTTTATGCTCTGCGTGATCGTGTGCATGACTTTCAGAGGACAATGATCATGACCACTTGATTTTTTAAAAAAATTAATTTTAGAGAAAAGACTTCACTTAGTTGATGCTCCTAATAAAATAACTGGTTACTGATGGTTTCATTCAGTCAACTAAGTTAGCTGATGATTTTAGCAGGAGTTACAGTTGCAGCTCTTTCTGACTTCTGCCAGTTTCGTCACTGCTTTCACTGCCCTGTGTCTACAATTCTGTGACGTGTGATTGTTAAAGGTCTGGTATATGTTGCCCTCTAGTGATTAATACGAACATAGGAAAAGTCACTTAGACATTCTCAGCGATTCAGATCTATATGTAAAGGCTTCTTATGTCATCATGCAGAATCTATATATCGTTTCCTATTATTTCATTCTCTGAGTCCTTTAATAGCCTCAGTTTTTACGTTTTATTTTATTATTACACAAGTCCAAAGTAAACTATGTCCTCTACTCTTTGTAAAAAACAAACAAGCAAAAACAAACCAAGAAAAAGACATAATAAAATATTCCTAAGTAAGGAAAAGAAATATTTCTCTTTTTTTCCAGTTATTTCTAACTATATTTTTGTGGAGTGTTTTAAACCAGAGAAGTCATTAACCTAAGTGCATGGTCTACTGAAAGTTAATTACTTTTCTTACTTTAGTAATTCCTGAATATAAGAAATGACAAGTATAATTGAGTATCTCATGAAATGGTCTAAAATAATGCACACTGATAGTGTCTAAATACTACTTCTAGCAGAATTTTCTACTAAAATTCTACTAAGTCTTGTAGGCCTTCATTCCTTACCACCTTGGTTTTTTTTGTTTGTTCTTCTATAGGAAAGAATATGTAAATTTGTAAATCCTGATTCGAAGACTTGTGTGTGAGGGTATGAAGTTTGATTTGTTTTTCCCTTTGGGTCTGGGTTATGTGGCTTTCAGGGGATGTATTGAGAGGCACCTGTGTTTTTTAATTTTTAAAATATACATTTTAGTGCTGTAAGTGGTGAGAGACTCATTCACAGTGGATCAATGAACCGTCTCTTCTAGGCAGTTTTGGTGAAAATAAAGGTTTCTCTTTGATTTCAAGAATGATTGAATTAAAAAAAAAAAAAAGGCAGGTATTAGTTTTGTATTGCTGCCATAAAAAATTCCCACAAATTTAGTGGCTTAAAACAACACAAATTTATTATCTTACGATTTTGTAGGTCAGAAATCCAACCTGGGCCTCACTGGGCTAAAATCAATGTGTCGGCAGGGCTGTGTTCCTTTCTGGAGGCTCTGTGGGAAAGTCTGTTTCCTTCCTTGTCTTTTCCAGCTTCTAGAGGCCACCCCCATTCCTTGGCTTGTGGCCCCTTTCTCTACCTGCAAAGCCAGCAGCACAGCATCTCTCGGATCCTGCTTCCATCTCACATCTTGTTCTATGACCACAGCCAGGAAAGGTTCTCCTATTTTAAGGACTCGTGATTACATGGGGCCTGC